ACTCGTAGTTCCTGTGCCTTCGAGCTCTGTTTCGGATGTGGGCATGGCATATCGTCACAGTCGGCTAATGTTCTTAGGCGATGAGGTCAGTGATGAGATTATCGAATGGCTGCGAAATAGTTATGTGGTATATACAACTAAGTGACACATTTCAGGATGGCTTCCCTGCACCGCAAGACGATTTAAACATACCGCAAAACGCGAATGCTTTACTTCAACTGTTGTGTGTTGCGTACACAGATGCGTACGAAAAGGGAAACCCCGTAGTGTTGGCGCTGAAACAAGAACAGGGTAGAACAAGATCGCGCAGCAAACAAAAAGAAACAGCTTGGTAGTATTGCTAGGCAGGAAAATCGAGGCTGTTGAGAAAAAGCGCTATGGCAACTGCATCATATATGATGATTCGAGAGGAGACTGCCAGGCTGTGGTGAGTACTGATCTCCAATTGTTTCACCCTAAACGGAGGAGTCATACACGACGTATTACCTAACGCTTCAGATCGAGCAAACCGTGGAAACGGCTCAAGAGAAGTCAATGCTACAGATGTTTGGCGAAGCACGCCTCTTTTACTTCCCAACACCCATTCCAGCAATGTGGACAAAGCTACGCAGCAACGTCACATTAAACGTCGACCAAGCCTCCAAAGTTATGGACGAGTACGATCCCGACAAGGAAATGAGGAGACTAATACAGAAGGAAACTGGTATCAAAAAATGAAGCATTTTCTGTACATACAATATAATATAATAATGTAAAAGCTGTAAGTAGACCATTTGATTAGAAAACAGCGCGACATAACGGGCACTATCATGAGATTGTATGTATACAGTCTTGCTATTTGGAAATGTGATGTGACCCTCAAAAAGACGTGTACACTTCGGGCAATGAATTGCATATCAGTGTTTATTACAGGCAATGTATACTTTTTTCTAGACCAGTGAACAGCTGATGTCATATTCACTTTCACAAATGTTATCGAGATGTTTGATTTGAAATTCACTTTAGGCTTAGGCTTGGTTCACGCGCTTAGGCTTAGGCTTGGTTTAGGCTTAGGAGCTCAGCTTTGGTTTTGGTTTAGGCCTTTATTTGCGGCTCAGGCTTGCGGCTTAGGTTTAGCTCAGGCTTAGCTTTAGGGACATTTGCTTTAGGCTTAGGCTTGGTTTAGGCTTGCGGTGCTTAGCGCGATTCGTGACTTAGCTTAAGGCGCTAGAAATATGGTGCTTAGGACAGGCTTAGGCTTCGGCTTGGTTGGCTTAGCGCTTAGGCTTGATCTAGCTTAGGCTTTAGCTAGGTTCAGGCTGAGGCCTGGTTTCGTCTTAGGTTCAGCCAAAGCCTGGGCTTAGGCTTAGGCTCAGGCTTCGGCTTAGTCTCAGGCTTAAGCTTAGGCCTGTAGAGTTTAGGGCCTCACTCTTTGCTTCAGGCTTTGGCGTTAGGTTTAGGCTTAGGCTTAGGCTCAGGCTTGGGCTTAGGCTTAGGCTCAGGCTTAGCCTTAGGGACAGGCTTAGGCTTAGGCTTGGTTTAGGCTTAGGCTTAGGCTTGATCTAAGCTTAGGCTTAGGCTTAGGCTTAGGCTTAGGCTTAGGCTTAGGCTTAGGCTTAGGCTTAGGCTTAGGCTTAGGTTTGGTTTAGGCTTAGGCTTAGGCTTAGGCTTAGGCTTAGGCTTAGGCTTATTTAGGCTTAGGCTTAGGCTTAGGCTTAGGCTTAGGCTTAGGCTTAGGCTTAGGCTTAGGCTAGGTTCAGACTTAGGCCTGATTTCGTCTTAGGTTCAGCTTGGGCTTGGGCTTAGGGTTAGTTTCCTTTTAGGTCTTGTTCAGGTCAGGTTCTAAAAAACTTGTCTTCAACCTTGAAATCACGCCGTGTAGAGAAGTGTTGACTATGTAGTTCTGAAGACCTTGAAGTCACGCCGTATAGACAATTATTGGCTATGTAGTTCTGAAGAAAATGGAGCAAGAACTTGAACAGAATTCATCCTAAATAATATATAAATAAAAGCGGAAGTGAAAAATTGGCCGTTTCGCCCTTTCAACCACAGACAGCCAGTTTGAAAGAAGGGCTCATCAGTGTGGTCTATCTGATGAAGGACTAAAAGCTTAACAGCAAAGCGGTGAGCGGCACTTTTATCGTCTCATCGTCTTCCCAACGTTCGATATCGCCAGACTGAAGTCATAGAGAAATTCGCTTATGTGAAAGCACCATCGTCTATATCATAGATCCAGTAGTGTGTAACAACAATGTGAAACTCCAAAAGTTTATTCCAAAAAACTCAAAAGACAGTGAAAGTCTCAAAAGTTTGTTATAATATATCTTAACTTGCAATATTTCGGTGCGTAGCACCTTCGTCAGGCCTGAAAATATTTAGCTTGTTTTGTTGGTTATACCTTCTACAAAGTGCAACCCGCACGGACCCCA